TGAGAAGCACGGGAATGGATCCGGTGTAGGGCTCCTTGTCGCGGCTGAAGACCTTTCGAAACAGGTCGCCCCGGAGACCCCGCTGAAAGTTGATTATGCTACTATATACCATAATACACTTTGAAAACACAAGAGACTAGAAAGGAGTATATTTTGTGGTACTACACTACAACTTAGGGGATGCCAGGCCTTCTCGTAGAAGTCGTAGTTGTCTCCCTTGTGGAAGATCGGCCTCGTTGAAAAGCGCAGCTCCGAATCCGTGCTGGAAGGCTCCGAGCTCAAGCGGGCTTGTAGGGGTACTACAAGGGCTATATAAGGGTCTTGCAGGGGTACTATGAGGGTATATAACGGCTCATCGGTTTATACCATAAGGGTATGATAAAGGGTGAAGGTTTGATGCCTTGAAGTAGTGCTTTCCAAGGCTCAAGGACAGCACAACGAGTCGAATGTTCTTGAAAGTTTCCTCTTGAAGAACCCGCTGCAGCGCCAGGGCCTTCAGAGGGGGAGGGCTTTCCGGGCTGAGTTTTGCTTGGGGGGCCACCATAGACGACCAGATAGCCAGGGAGCTGAGAGGTGCCGCACCGTGTTGCCGATGCCCAGGGCATCGCCGGCGAAGACACCCAGGCCAAGGCCCACTTCCACGACCACCTGGATGCCTCGAGAAAACGGCCATGGAGAGGCTTGGGCCCTTGGGCTTGGGTCTGTCACCGGGCCTAGGTCGTCTTGTGCCTTCAAGCGCAGTCGGCACATCTTCTTCCTCGGCTTCAGACCGTGCACGGCCTGCATGTTCCATCTCTTGCTGCCATGGATCAGATCGATGAGGGTTTTAGAAACGTTCAGCTGCGCAAAGGTCCCGGAGAGCTCGAAGTCGCGCCCGTGCCGGACATAAGGAACGCCTTCATCCTTGCAAGGTCATCTTGGTCAGCGGCCCGCAGCCAGCAAGCTTGTCCATTTACAGTGCATTCGAGAGTCATCAAAGCAGTAAACCTCCTTCCAATTCTTGATGTAATGGGTGAGGTCAACGTGATCGTGAACGCGGGATGCGAAGTCGATCCCACAGACAGACACAAGATGAATCCGGCTGGAAACCGGATCGCCAATTTCGCGCGGGACGACACGGCCGTCAAACCTCATGATGACGGGATTCTTGCTGCACCTGATGGCAAACTTCATCTTCCAGGCTTCTTCGCCGGCCTGCAGGAAAGCAGCGTCTAGAGTCGAGCCTCAAGGGCCTCGGCCGCAGGCAGAAGGCCTCAGAGTGCCCCTCCAAGGACCGACTCAGGAGCTGTAGGCCCTCCTCGCCGGTGTAGACATCCGTAGCCTCGGCTGGGAGACAAAAGGTCTGGGACAGGACCGGAGGCGGCTTGGGCCAGGCGGCGTAGTAGGCCCGGAAGGAGGACTGCCACTCGAGGATCTCGGCGACGGAGGCTTTGAAGGAGCAGGGGCGTCCTTGGTCTGGGCGACCCCCTGACCCCGCGATGCACATCGATAAAATACGTCGAGCAGCCGTCTTGGCCCGTGCCGTGGTACACAAACTCCTGAAGAAAGATGATCAGTCACTCCAACCCACTCGCTGGACTCAGCGACCAAACCGTGAACCCCGACACCCCGAGTCACTAGGCCTTCGCCGATTCTGACAAGCTCTGGCCAGTCCTTGTCGGGGGGCATGCTCTTCAGCGGTGTCTGCAGGTCAAAAGCCTTGACACCTGAAAGGTTGGAATCGAACGGGCTTCAAAAGCTCAGCCAGACCAGGTAACTGTGCTGGCTCGTCCGACACATGCACAGCACAGCAGGTCTGGTGCCGAAGACGGACTGCATGCGCAGGAAGGGAGGGAGGGAGGGAGGG